CCCCATCCCCAAATTTGGTTTTAAAATGTCTTTTATTACACAGAAAGACAGGGGTAGACCCTGAGCAACTGACTTGGAAACCTTAAACAGATGGGTGGCGAGGAAAGATCAGGATGGTATTTTCTGAGATCATTCAGGCAAAGGGTAAATGACGAACCAAGATCGCCGAAGTAAGTCGCAGAGCTAGCATCCGATGATTCGTTTTGGTAAGAGTTATACGACATTTGCTACACACCTGATGATGATTCTGAAGACACTGTCTAAGGGAACCACCTGCCTAAGCAGACCACTTTTTCTCCTCGACAATCGGAGGTCCTCATGAAAAGGTTCGACTGCAGCCTACTTTTAGATACGGCTTGGTCAACGTGTTCTCTTGTCGCTGAAAGAGAGGGCACCCAGAGGTCACTGACCCACGCCAAACAGGTGGTGTAATACAATATGATGACCTTTTAGTTTATGTTTACTTAAGTTTTAAGGCACTTGCAACACAATTGGGTCATGTAAGTACAAAAGACTAGAGGCGTTACATGAGAGTATAGGAACATACAAAGAAAAAGGGTTTTAGTAAGTTAGCCTTTAGTTCAGTTTAAGTAAGAGTTTTACGGCACTGCAACACAAATAATCATTTACGTTAAAGAGCCGAAGTTTCGAGGTGTTAAACCTAGAGAGTAACGAACATATAAAAGAAGAAGGAGAGAAAAGGGCGATAGACGCTTGGTAGGAAAGAAGGAGCAAAGCACACCAAACCACCCGCCAATCACCCTAGACGACCATGACTACCACCAACATCCCACCATAACTACGACAACAACAGCGACAACAACAATATCCCACAACGACAACAACGGCAACAACAATACCCCATAACAACAACAACAACAAAACGACCACAACAACAATACCCTATAACAACAAAACAACCAAAACAACAATACCCCACAACAACAACAACAAAAAACGACGACAACAACAATATCCCACAACAACAACAACAACAAACGGACCACAACAACAATATCCCACAACGACAACAACAAAAAAACGACGACAACAACAAACGGACCACAACAACAATATCCCACAACGACAACAACAAAAAACGACGACAACAACAATACCCCACAACGACAACAACAATACCCCACAACGACAACAACGACGGCTC